ACACACACACTCTGCCAAGGCCTGAGTTCAGGGAACTCCAATCCTCCTGCATCTACCCACATATCCTTCTTTCCTGATGTCTATTGTGTGCCAGATCCCTGCAGGCAAGGATGGCCAGTCCTTTGCCATAGGAAAGAGCTGGTGACTGTCCAAGTGAGACAACACTATGGTGATGAGACCATCTGTAGAATCATAGGTTGCAAGAGGACATGCAGCCCTTGGAAACAAACATGAACTCTGAGGTACCCATTGCCTTTCATGGGATGGTGAGTCAAGGGGATGCCCAACTGAGAAAGGCTCTGTGTGGGAGAGGTTAAATGTCAGAAGTAGGCTGGGTGGCCCTCCCTAGGTACCCCAGTAGGTACTAGCAGTAACTTATCCCTATATTACTGGTGGGAAAGTGACTGGACCAACCCTCTTGGTCAAAATAAAACAAGGGCTGGGGGGGGGCGGTTACTTCAAACAGGTAGTACCTTTGGATACACATGCCAGAAGGGTCAGCAGAAAGACCTACACATGTATCAAAGACCAAAAGCAGCTGAAGCAGCTGGGAAATAGCTGTAAGATGAAGGAAGTGACTGTGTAGTGGAAAGCTTACAAAGTATCAAAAGTTCTTCAAGAAATGAGAGCTACAGGAACACACAGGAATGAGTGTATGCGCGTGCATGTGCGTGGCACGAAACAGCAATGGCTTTAGAGCAGATTGGAAGTCAGACATTGGGTTCAGATCTGAGGTCAGCACTCTGGAAGTCAACCCCAGCATGCCTGGACAACTTAGTGAAATCTTGTCTCAAATTTTTAAAAAGGGCTGGAGATACAGCCTAGGACGGTGAGTCAAAGGGATGCCCAACTTTGAAATGCTATACAGTGGTAGAGCATTTGCCTAACATGCACAAGGCCTGGGATTCATCCCAGACCTGCTCTCACCCCCAAAAGGAATGGATTGGATACAATTGATGAGATGGATCAACAGAATCATCTAGAAGGCAGTGCAGGGAGATGAGAGGTATGCTGGGCCTTGTGTGGGCCCCAGGAGTCCCACTTGCCACATGCTGTAGACAGGGAATCCTGGCACCCTCCACATTCTCAGAAATCCTAAGTGGTCTCACCCTGGGAGAGCCAGTTTTTCCCAGACATGAGAGCTTGCCAACCTGTGGTCATCTGGTTAAGCCCTGTCAGCCAGTCCCTGCTGGAATCCCACTGGCCCAGAGCCCAAGGGCTCTTCTAAGAGCTTTTCACTGGGAACACACTGTTTTTAGAATGTCAGAGACCTGTACTCATCCTACAGGGGCAGCTCTAGCCCTGTAGTTCAACTGCAGAACTCTACCAGCCTAGCTGAGTAGCAGACTACCCTCCAGGCAGCTGCAGTGGGAAGGGGGAAGGGGTTCCATGGTCCAGAGGAAGGCCACCGATAGATCTCCAGGCAGCCTGACATTGGAGGTGTGGGTGCAGAGCCCAGAGCTGCAGTCTTCATGAAACCGTGGTCATTGGGAGGGAAAGACCAGAGGAAAGCCAGCCCCTGGGGAGGGGACCATCAGGAACTGCCTTTCTCTCCAGTCCCTCACCTCCCACTCAAGCCAGGCCCACTGCTCACCGGCCCTCCCTCCCCTTCCCTCTTTCCTTCCCCTATCGCAATCCACTCCTTCACCTAGGTCTCTATATCCACCTGGTAGGTCCCAGTGGGTGCTGTGTGTCTCCTACCCGGTACCCCTACAGAGCTCTGATGCTCTAGGGCCTGGTGAAGTCCTCTCTGGCACCCTGCTCACTGGGTCAGCCATCTCACTTCTACTGACCTGCCCAATTCTGAGAGTGAGCCTAGGTATATCCCTTGGCTCCTACTCACTGCACAGCCAGAACCACCCCACGGGGAAAACCTTGGAGCATCCCACTCACACACTGTGTGTGCTGGCCTACTCATCGCTCAAGGACACTTCCCATCGCTTCCATAGTCAGTAGAGCCCACAAGGCCATCAATGAAGCTGGGGCTTATCCTCGGGGGCATCTACATGTACCACACGTGCCTTAAAAGATGCCTGAGCCCCTGTAGGACAGAATGGCATCTAGAGGAAAAATGAACCTAGTTTCTCTAGTGACTCCTCCAGTGTGCCTTGCCCTACCCCTAGGCTCAGCACATGGAACTTCCTCAGCAGCCCAAGAAGGCCACAGTGAGGTCAGGGTCATATAGGATTCTGGGATTACCTCTGGGGCCCAGGTCGCCAGAGCCAGACAATAAGAGCATGTGGAGGAAGAGGAAGGCAGGAAATCCAGGAGCCCAGCCAGGAGCCTTACTCACAGGCCTCTGGAGCCCTGGACTGGCAGTATCTGGGAAACTGTGAGGAGCTTCGCCCCACCTCTGAGCCCTGTGATGGGACTTCCTGCCCCATTTGTCTGAGGAGACCATGAAAGCAATCTATGTACATGGCCAGGTTTGCCAACAGCAGCCAGATGGTCACATATTGTTTTCTCTGTACGTACAGGGCTCACTGTAATCTCTTTGTTTGGTCTCATGTCATCCAGGATAGCAAAAACAAAAAAAAAAAAAAAAAAAAAAAAGAAAAGAACCCAGGCTGAAGGGGAGGGGAAGGGCACAGGTGCCTCCTACACCTGGTGGCCATCCAGTGATCCACAGGGCAAGGAGGGGATGGCTGAGGTGCTGTCTCCTTGAGATTTACAGGGGTGATATGGCCCACTGAGTGCTCAGGCAATGGATGCAAGTTCACATGGCTAGCCTGGCAAGGCTTGTGGAAGGATACCTGCCAGTTATACTTGAAGTATGGTGGTGAGCTGACTACTCAGAGTGGGCACACATGTATGCTGGGGTCAAATGGGTCTTTTTTTTTTTTTTTTTTTTTTCTTTTTTGCAGTACTAGAGATTGAACTCAAGACCTTGCACTTGCCAGGCAAGCGCTTATTCTACTGAGCTATCTTCCTA